CAACAACAACAACAACCGCAACCGCAACCGCAACCGCAACCGAAACCACAACAACAACAAACACACACAGACAAACAGACAAACAAACAAACAAACAAGAAATCAAGCATTCAAGCAAACAAGCAAACACACACAAGCAGACAAGCAAGCAACCAAACAAACAAGCAAGCAGACAAACAAACAAACAAACAAACAAACAAAAACCAACATCAACACCAACACCAACACCAACACCAACACCAACACCAACCGCCGCCGCAGCAGCAGCAGCAGCAGCAGCAGCAGCAGCAGCAGCCTCAGCATCAGCATCAGCATCAGCAGCAGCAACAGCGACAGCGACAGCGACAGCAGCAGCAGCAACAGCAGCAGCAACAGCAACAACAGCAGCAACAACAACAACAACAATATAAGTAGCATAACAATAACAAGCAACAGTAACAGCTACACTTGTTCTTGTATGCTTGTTGGTTACTGTTTGTATGTACTAGTTATGCATGTATGCACATATGTATTTTTTGCTTCGGGACTCCTTGGATTTGCCCGGGGCACAGCCGCTTTGCTTTCAGCAGCCATGCCAAGAACAACAACCACCCAATTCCATTACGAAAGAGGCGACATAGGCCGACGGCCTACAAAACATACATGTTGCACATATGTATGTATATATGTATTTATGTACAGTACAGGTATGTAAGCATGTATGCATGTGTTGTGCTTGTGCGCAGGTGTGTACCAATACGTACGTAGTTGTACGTGGGTATGTATATACCACATATGTATGTGTGTCCATTTACTGCCGAGTTGCAAGAGCTATTTGCTGGATTCACACATGTCTCGGAATTTGCAAGGGATCTTGCTTGGTCGAACGCATGCTGTGTAGATAGCATATCATACAGGCACCACACTACAGTGGAAGCCGCGTCCCGCTGAACCTCCCGTCGCCTGCACCTCGACTTACACTAACCAATTCTCTTCAACTACACGAGACTTTTCAACCACATGGTGCATACCACACTGCTGGGAAAAAACACATGGAGTGACCTTGCAGAAGATCTTACAACCATGCCTCTTACACGCTGGATCGTTGATAGCGTGAGGACACGTCAGAACAGCAAGTAAATGCCTGATGCTTACAATCCTTATTCGCACGGACGGGATACACCGAACGTCCCATTACTCTAGTTTCAAGACACCTCCTGCCCGCCTCGCCATCCCAAAACAGGACATGGCTCAAGGACACGAAGTGGACCTAATGCATTCCGTCTGCACGAGGGACGGAAAGGAACTGCAAGACGATGCAAGCAGCATCCGCTACAGCGAGGGGTGCAATCGTCGGTAGGTATCCTAGCCCGATAGTGAAATATGGTACGTGTTGCACTCAATGTTGCAGGGAGAGACAGACACTTCCATCTCTGCAGCCGACATGCCATGTATTCCCAGTTTCCCTCGACATCTGTCAGGAACTCGACAGTCCTTAGAAGCTTCTGGTTTTGGGGGGAGAGTGACGAGTTCCACAGAGAGGCTGTGACTGGGTGCCTTTGGCGTGCCAGGGCACATATCATCAGTGATCTTTGTCACCTCAGGGATCTCCCCCAACCTTGCAGTCGCATTGCGCGTGTATATATATATATATGTATATATATATATACACACACACATAGTCTGTAGTCTGTGAAGCATTATTCGACTGACTGGCCAAAATAGCTTGAAACCTCTGACCGCACGGCATTGCAGCTGTGTGCATTGAAACCCAAGGCTGCAGGCGAAAGCCCACAACCATTGAAGCCCTGACGCACATTCAGCGCAGCGCTGCCATTTTCTAAATTAATAAACAGTAGTATAACTATGACGGTGGAAGGTAAACATCTCAGAAAGATCCAAAAGAACAGGTCCAAGCCACTGTGGGAAGCGCTGCTTCGCCAGGTCCAAAGCTGACGAGCTCCTGGGTCTCGGGACATCTCGCGTAACGTTCGAAGGAATATCTGCCTAATTCTGGCGCTGCTCCTGCTGAATTGTTGCATGACACGTGCTCGGAATCCAAAGGATTAAGCTGACGAAGGGGGGCAGTGGGCAAGCCATGCTTGTACATGTCTCGCACATGCTTCATCCGATCCGGTGTCTAGAGTTCCCTGCGGCCGGGGAGCGTGGCGACCGCTGGCTGGCGGCTCTCATCAAAAAGCCACCGCGTGAACGCCTCGCAGCCTGAGACGCATAGAACGCGGCCCGAGGCCTGAAGCTGCCACTACCGTGAAACTGATCATAATTTATGATCAACTGCCCCCAAGAGCAACTGGAGTGCATGCGATTCTCCGGTATTTAATCCGAAACTGCAGCAACCTATATAAACCCTAAAGCTCTGAAATTGATCAGAGCTGAGCAGCTGATGGGCGCATCCTCCTCAATGCCGGCAGCCCGCAGGATCTTCCTCGGGAGTGACTCGTCAATGGGGGCGGAACTATGATGAAGCGGTTGGGGGTATCTAGTATACTATATATAGGGAGCAGTTAAGGGAAATTGCTACGCTTACAATTACAATTGACCTATGTTACTGGTATGGTTTAGGGTTGCGGCTATCGCGAATCGCACGAGGCAGGCAAGGCAACACGAAGTACGCCATGAGCACCAATATGCAAGTTTAGGGTTTAGACTCTCGCAACTTGGACAAGGATATAGGGGATTTGGGGAGTTTGATCTTGCCAAGCAGTGCTCAACTCGAAAAGAATCCAGGCAAGCAGGCAAGATCTTGGATCTGAACTATGCCCTCCTGAGAAGACAGGGCTTAGCAGAGCAGTTTACTGGATGTTGAACAGCATCGCTGAACCGGAGAAGGTGATTGGTTGCTGTGCCGTCTGCAAAGGGTGGCTGCCTGGCACCAAACCTTCGACCTGACAGCCTGGCTGAAACTATCAAACTCTATACCACGGTCTGGACAGCGCTGAGTACGGCGGCCTGGCATCACGAGCCAAGGCTCAGGAGGTCTTCATCCGTCCAGCAGGGCTCGAGTCGACCTCACTTGCGAGCAGCTCGGAAGGACTTTTGTCGGTGTAATGTAGGAGCCTTAATAATTAGAATAGGGTTTTGGAGTATATTACACTATAATTGAAATAAGAAATAAGGAAACCCCAAAGTAGTATAGGTAATTATGTAGGCCCTCTATTAGCCGAACGGCCCAAGGCTTCGAGGAGAAGAGACCGGTCAACTGTGTCGCCTCAGTCTTCGTAGCAAGCTAAGAGTGGCACCTTCGCCTGCTTAGCTTGGCAGGCAAGGTGTTGCGAATTCGCCGTCAAGATGATTGTCTACCCGTCGTGATGTTGGGCTCAGGTAAAGGATTTTAGGAAAAATCAGCGTGGCCAACACCGCTGAAAACTGTCGCCGACCACAGGCCTGTAGCCCAACCGCCAACGGAGCTAGGCAAGCTATGGCACTCCCATCCGTCGCCAAGACTTGCAGCGATTGCGCAATTCCTCACAAGCGAAGGCAATGGCAGTCGGGCTGCAGCGAGATGCACGAGATCCTGCTGAATCCTGCTGGGAACATTTTTTCATCTGCTAGGAAGCTTTCTGGAACAGATAGGTGCTTGCATGAGAAAATCAACCAACTTCTGCCCGAGAAACGCTCGCAAGTTGATGGGTCCATGGCTTAAGTCGACATTGGTCGATCCATGTCCGGTCTCCCAGTACTTTGCTGGTGTCTTTAATTTGTCTAGGCTCCATACAGGCATATGGCACTGGAGGTCAGCTCTAGCTGCTCACAGTTGGGGCGGCATTTCAAGGGTTGCAACACTAATTCCTGGAACTCTCGGCAGATGGCCAAAGATGCTGTCGTTGTGCAGACGGATCTACGGATGTTGGCAACGACTTGCCAAACGTGCAGTGGTCTTGCAGCCAAATTCGGATAGGAAGGCAGCAGCCTCGCATCAATAAGTCTCCGCCAGATTCCTCCCTCACTGCTTGGTGAGCTATTCAGCAAGATGCGGCCACGAACATCATGCACTCCAGGCAAAGCAGCGGCTGCAAATCCCGCGCCCTTAACGTAAGGAGGTCAGAGAAATCTGTGGAAGGAACTCTTGGAGCCAGGCACGTTGCTAACCTTGTCGTTTGCAGCAGTGGCTCTGGCCTTCATGAGCATCTCCGGCGTCCTCACAAAGGCAAGCGTGCAACCCATCAGGGATCTGAAGCCTCGTTAAGTTCCCGACATGTCAACGCCAAGGACATGTCCTTTCGGCCCGACCTGTCAACTGTCAACAGATTGAGAACACTCCGCACTGGCAACTACTGTAGCAGGGTTCCGTGGTCAACAGCAACACGCGATTAGCGCGAAAGCCTGAAAGATCAAGATGGGGAACACAGAGCCGAACTTCACGACTCATGGTGGCCTGCTTTGCTGCAATGAAGCAGTCCATACCTGCCCCGCTGCCCAGGTCCAACACCACCTGGCCCACAGGGTTCATCAACAAGTCCCGTTGCCAGCCCAACACCTCCAAAAGCTGTCCTATTGAAGCAACGCACTGCAACTTGCTGAGGCTGGGATCCAATGTAGGCAGGAAGAAATGGATGTGAAAAATGCATGCGCCTGAACAGACTGTCATGTTGTTCATGTTACGGCCAACGAACATGTCTCAGATTGTTATTTCGTGCCCTCGTGCCTCACCCGGCTGCAGGTTCGCGGTGGTGAGGGGATTGCCACATCCCAAGCCTACATGCGCGAAAGCTCTTGTCTCGGTGACATATTTATTGCAAAGATAGCTGTGTTGCTACCATTAGGGCCGGGGGAACCGGATTTGAGTAAATTTACTGGTTCGGGAGGGGGAGGGGCCCGGGGAACCGGAGGGGCCGGAGGAACCGGATTGGAGTAAATTTACTGGTTCGGGAGGGGGGCATGTCTGGGATACGCTTTATGCACATCACAGCAAGCGCCTAAATCCGCAGACTCGTTCACATCGCCCTCCTCGTAGCCTGTGCCAAGTGCAAAATTCAGCTGCGCATACACATCTTAATGAGAAAGCCTCCTTGTTTGCCATCAAAACCGAGACAGCAAACGGAGCACACTCGTTTTGCACACTAGGCCGGCATCAAGTATAGCAAACTGGAAGGAACGGCGCCCTCCCTTCCCAGACCCATATCGAGCCACTTAGTCACTTGGGACGGCACCGAGCAGCTTGCGACGCTTCTGAATGTCACCGACGTCAAGAGGAAGGACCTTCAGCACTCGGTCTTCCTAAACAGGGGCTTCTGATTCTTTGGCTGCATTCTATTTGGATTTGTGCTGGACTATGCTGGGGAGCAAATCTAAGAAGCTTGAATGGCACCACAAGCTGGGCACAAAGAAGATGCCACAGCCACTAAATGTCTTTCCATCGACACCGACCTTCAGCCTTACGTGCTCCGATCAAGATGCAGTGCATCAGGAATTGTGTTCTCCTTTTTCGCCATGCCGACGCTTTTGCCCATGACGAACAAGTGCGACACTGCTTTCGAAAAAGTCCAGGACTCTGCATCAGAAGCGGCTTAAAAAGCAGCAGATTCTTTACCTTTGCTGGTCTCTGAGCTCTGACGCTCTCACTCTCAGATCAGACTGATCGAGTTGTTGGTTTGTGACGCCGATGTGAAACAGCTCAGCATGGAGAGCTCAAAGCTCTTCAGGCATAAGCTTCCGGGCGAGCCAGCCAAGAGGCCAACCCGGGATCCAAAAGGCTTTGCCTCCAAGGCGGCTCGTGGACTTCGATTGGGATTCGTTACAGCTTCAGGTGCGCACTGGAAGGGACGATGCTGCTGCAAAGGCGGCGATTCACGTGATGCTTTTGCGAACGGCTATGTCACAGCATTGTCGAGGCTGTAGTCCGGCTCCCATCCATCGACAAGTTGTGACACAAAAGACAAACGGATGGGGATGCAGCATCCAACGTTGCAAACTGCCTTGACTTTGGGAGAGTTGGGCAGCTCGATGATGCAGCGAGCCACGAGCGATACTGCTTTACATAAGAACCTTATAAATACTTATAAACTCATACGAATGCCGCGCAGGGACTGCGAGGAAGAGGATTTTATTAGCTTTTGGAGACCACGAGCGCTAAACCATTTCTGCTCTGTGCCTTTCGGAAAGATGAGGTACGAGTCTCGGCCAGTCCTCGGTAACGGGGCATGGGGCGGGGGCTCTTTCTTCAGTTTTTCCGAAAGCTCCATGCTTCTCGATTGGACCTGAAATTCTGAAAATTCGAGATTCTGGATATGGTTTGGGGCCCGGCTTCCCCTCAGCACCTCAACGACGAAGGCTGATGCAATACAGGCAATCGATGGCGCCGGCCTGATGCTGGTTTTCTAGTTGACTATACAAGGCCCCACTAAGCCGGCTGAAGCAAACCCTCCCAAGTGCAACAGGGCATCGGTGCATGCAGCTCCTCAGGCGGTTCAAGCCGCCTGCCAAACGCAGCCCCTGGAGGCAATACCTGCAGGCTCACTCTTCGGTGTTTTCCACGGGCCCTTGGTAGACTGCACCTGTGCTGAGTTGAGCAACATGCTCGTCAATTCAGCTATCAATTCGCAGCTCGCTAAGCGAAAGTCGACGGAAATTTCATGCTACTTTCCGAACTCTTGAAATGACAGAAAAGATAGGATGCGATTGTGCCCGTGAACCCACTAAAGCTCGCAGTCAGAAGTTCTTTTCGACAGCATGCTGCCACGAAACTACGGATGACTACATCTACATAAACCAAGCCGTCGTGCTACACCGGTACACAACCAAGAAGATCCAAAGAAACCCCTGTCCAGAGCAATTTGGCCTGGAAGTTCTGTGAGCCAAAGCCTCACCAAGTACAGAGGGCTAAGCGGCTAAACAAGCTACTCTTCGGGCTTTGAGGGTTGGGCTCTGCTTGGCAGCTTGGCAACCCTTTAAACTGCGTAGGGAAACTTGGAGAATGTGGCGTTGCGGGCAAAATAGAGCTGGGCTTTAACTATACTTATCTCGCATGCGAGAAAAGACAAATTACTAGGGACAGCGAACTTATTTGCATGCTCATACACCAGGCATGTTAAGTAACTTATGCAACCTTGGCAACAGTAACACCAACATGCGGCAAGCACACACCCCATCAAATAAGGGGCAAGGATACTACGACTAGATCTTCCAGGGCGGTGGTGCATGCAACCGCATTTTGACCGGAGGGTTGCCATCCAGAGCAACATGTAACCACCTCCGGTCATCCTGCAGCTCGTCGAGCGTTCTAGAAAAAGCTTCCCGCGATTCCTCTGCCCGCATTCATAAGAACCTGAACAACCGACATCGTCTCTCATGATAGACCAATAGCTGTTGTGTGTGACATTCTGAAGTGGTTGACCAGTTCTTGAAACTGGTAATTGACAAGTGTTCACGGACAGGCTACAGGCTGCTCACGGGTCCAGTTCTGGAAGATTGGGGCAGACTTGGAGCATGGAACCGTGTGACTCACGAATGCAACATGCTTGGCCCAGCTCTAGTCTATTCAGGAAAATGCAGAGATTGCAAATCCGGGTGACTGGAAGAGCCTTCAGAGCAGTCTATGCTGCCTCCCTTGAAGATGCGCAGTTTATGCTAAGCCTTATCTTGAATCTAGTGCGCGGCTTCCCTGAGCAGGTAATACAACAAATGGGAAGCACTTTAACTTTCCAGTTGCGGAGTGATGATGAGGCCCCTTTAGAATACATCCAAGCTGCCAGGAACTACTTGAATTAGCAGCCATAGCCGCTACCTGCTACCTGATAACACCGTGACATGCACAAGCTTCCTAGTCCTAGTGTAGAACTATAAATCCAACTCGACTCTGCGAGAATATCTAGCAGCATGCAAAACGGACGTCGCCAGGCGTCCACTGCTCATCTGAACTGCGCGGAATGCGAAAGCCTGACGTCCCTTTACAGACCATGCATGCACTTGATGATAAGAGGAAGAGCACAAAACCAACGCAAGAACCCTTAAACATGAATTTAGATACAAGTACAGATCTGAATATCTGAGAAAGTTTTAAAAAAGACATACAAGTAGGGAGAGAAAGAGTTCAGACACACTCGTCGCGGAGAAATACCGGATTCAAGATGCATCAGGTCCACTCTTTGCAGAACGTGCAACCGTTGATCCACTCGTAGCCTCTGCTATCGAGCTTGAAGACATCGGTAATCTCAAAATGCTCCCATTCACCTGAACGGGATTTCACGACAGCTCGAGGTCAGATCTGAAGGCTGCATGCGCTGCTGCCGATTACAAGAAACCATCCACAGTGAGAGCTGGGCATGGTTTCCGACGAACACAGAAAATCAATTTGCCAACAATACTCTCCTGCCCAAACGGCATGATCCTCGTGATCATCGGCAACATCATCCTCTCTGGCATTAATGATACCAGCATTACCTCCTCAGTACCAAAATTATTATCGCCCCCGTCATCATCGTTGACATCACAACTATCAACATTATGGCTTCAATGTCGCCATTGCGACGGCCACAGCCTCCATTCTTAAGTCTTTCTGTTCACTTGATGACGAAGTGTTGCAGCATATCCTCACCGTAAGTGTGAAGGCCCCCACCATGAGAACCAAGCAGCAGCAGCAGCCAAAGCAATGCGAGTTGCAGCAAGAATACTCAAGCTTCTGACGAAGACAGCCCTGTGCGAGCAGCATCGACAGCGGAAGCAAAAGCAGGTAAAAGCAATCGATAATAATCGTGATGAGGAAGAGGGTAGAGATTTGTGGTGCGTGGCGACAAGCGACGGTGGCGGCGACGGCAGAGGTCGTGGCGGTGGTGCTGCTGGGGCGGCCGCCGGTGCTGGTTCGAGGAGAAAAAGATGGCGGTGACGACGATGTAAGTAATGATGACGGTGGTGGCGGCGATGGCGCGGACAACGACGATGATGAGGATGACGGGTTCGTGACATTGACGTGGACTGAATTTTAAGCCTAGAGCCAAGTTTCTGTGGATGAAATGAAAAACCTACTATATTGAGCCGGATTGCATGCTTCTGCAAATGCATCTCGCTGAATCGAAAGACGTCTGCATGCAGGTTGCAGGCTTCGCCATACGCATGTGCAACCGAGCTTCGTCCGAGAGCCTCTTCCACTGCGGAATCCGTGTTGGGGCATCTCAAAACGCCGAGCCTCCGGTCAGTCAAAGCTGTTCAGGTGACGGAAGGATTGAAGGTTGCACAACATCGGAATGTGGCTTTTGCAACACATGGGCTTCTAAGTGCAGCAGTGGTTCTCTGCGAAGCATGCGTGCACGGCGCTGTAGATGGCTCCGGCAGAACTCTTGTCAGAGGCGAGGCCAGACTCGTAGCAAATGTATGCTGGATGAATTTGCTCGCCACTCCTCCCGACACGTTCTGACAACACCACCGAACCAGCGAGAACCCACTCCCCCGGACATTACCAGACCATGGTGAGACGATGCTCTGCTCCACACACACACACACACTTCAAAACACACGCAGACAACAAAACAAGCGCTCCTTTGGCACGCTTCAAATGGTGCGTGTTGCAAAGCATATTCATCTGACATGGCACCACCAGCGATCAAGGTGTCTGGATCCTCAGCGTGACGGCTGCTTGCTGTTCTGTTGCTCTGCACTGCAGCATTGAATCTATATGGGGGGTTCCGAAAATAGGGGACCCTAATATAGTACCCTAAAGAGTAGGATCCCTATTATAAGGACCCCAAAATAAGGTACCCCCAATTTTCTGAAACTCCCATATCAGTAGTCTCCGATTGCTGAACCACGTGCACTGACAGTGCATTGACGTCTTGCTTGTGCCATGCCGTGTGCACTTTTACGAAGTTAGTGTCTGAAAACTCAGTCCCTTCGTAAATCACAGGCAATCGCCATCGCGGTCCAGCTAGTACAGCAAAACCAGGTCTCAGCGTCCCTCCGCCCCGGATTAAGGGCATTGTCTTCTGGAATGGTTTCGAACTGAGACTGATACAATTCTCATATGTCCCAGATATCAGCGGCATCATCCTCGTCAAGATGCCCACAAGATCGTACGGCAGGAGGCTGGCAGCGCCCGCAGGAAAACCCTCGGGCACAATTGGAATGCACTGACCGGCAACAAACCCAGAACTCGCCATGAATTCTTCATGTCACATGGTGCCTGGGAAACACTTATATACACATCCATCAGACAAGACTCGTGTGACCAGTCACGCGTGCAATCTTTGTTTGCGACTTTAAGCGCATTGACAGCTGGGCTACCCCTCCAATCCTATGTATGACGACGATGATGACTCAGCTAGGGCAAACTTCGAGTCAACCGGAGAGAACATCTCCGACGAACAGCAGACGTTCCGAGTGTGCAGAGTCAGATGCAGGCCTTTCGGCGGATGCGAAGCGCTCTTTGCGCCCAGCCACGGGCCCTGCATGCCACATTGAATCATGTGCTTGGGATTCCTGGGCAGCGTCTACGCAAAGGCATTTCGTCGGAAGTAAGCAGAGTTGCAGTTGATGTGCTGTGTCTGAACAGAATAAAGATGCCTGTGTTGATTATAAGACTTTTTGCATCCAGGACTCTTGCAAGCAGCCGGGAAACTCCACTATTATCCTTTAACCTGCCCGAAGATCCCGAAGTCGTGCAACCTGCGAAGTATTCATACCCTTCTTCGTATTGGCATCGCTTCAGGAATGGAGTCGGATGCAGGCTTGGCTCAGTCAGGACCATGGACGCATCGTTAATTCGCTCGACCCGACCGTGAGCCTGGCCACATACTACAGCTACAACCCAGCTTCATCATGCCCGTCGATATGCAAACGAACCCGGACCCGCGAGACGGTGCTCCTCTCTGCGGCATCCCAACGATTTCCCAATCGCAGCCGGCCTGCTTAGCCACTTACCCTTCAAGCGGACTAATTGCAACCTCTCATGGCCTGGAAGCCGCGCAAAAGGCTTGGACGGCTTGTTGGTCGCATGCAGGTCAAGCAACACGTCCAAGCCCCCTTGGTCATGGCAACGACTGGAAATTCGAACGGCTCCACAGTTTCTGGACCATTGCCATCTTTACAGTAAGAACTTTCATCGGCCGGATGCCCACGGTAGACATCGGACGTACTAATGAAATACCCCACCAAAGCTTGTAATGATCATGTAGCCAGGCTGCTCAGTGAAGGCATCAGCACCTGCATCAGTCAGAACACATTACCCCCCTTCATACGTCAGCAGTAGACAGACGGGGAGAATGTTCGCAACATCCACGGCAGGTGAAACAGACTGCCTCTTGAACATGGCGGTGTGGCTAGTCTCAGACTCCGCTGCTACACCACCACATCTTTCAGCAGTTTTTGATTGCCGCAGATGTCTGGCAAACAGTGCGGCCACGGAGTAATGTTGCAACCAAACACAACGCTAGTCGCACTTTGCCTGGGCACGGGACTGCTCATGTTCCATGCCCAGTGGCATGGCTGGATCTCCAACCACCTGCGACGAATTCGCTTTTGGCGGACGCTTGGGACTTTGGGAGCTCCTGCAGCTTCCAGAGGGTTTCATCGCATCCTCCAACATCAAATCCAAAGGCAGCTTGTAGAGTTGGGTGTGTTGAGCGGCGACTTGCCAGCATGCCCTTCTGGTATGGTTGGTGAGGCTCTTTGCCTCCTTGCTTCACTTGATGCAGGCTTCCGGTTGTCAGGAGGGTGCTGTGGTTTGGCGGTGAAGCCACACGCAGGAGGCACGCACAGGCGTCGCTGCCCTTCACGGCGACGCGAGTCTCGCGACCGTTCCAACATCTAAAAGACTCTTGCATATCAGGTGAACAACAAGGATTTGCATGATTGCGGCCGGTTGACATCGTCTATAGGGATACTGGTACAATAGTCAGCCGGTCAACAATTGGTCTGCCACGGCTGTCGCTTGGCTGGCTGGCAGGGTGTTTAGACTTTGCAGGAACAAGCAGACCAACACATAGCCACAATCACAAAGCAGCTTTTTACAAGAAAAACCATGAACCCGCCATGCTCCCATGAACCCTGCATCCTGGTCACAACCTGAAACAAGCCAATCATGCTGCTGGCACCTCCTGGAAGCAGCGGTTGAGATCCTGGTGGATAAACCTGCACTGCAGCGCTTCAGACGGTTCCATCAGTCTAGTATCGTACGATAGAGATATAGTAGCACAGTATAGAATTATGAAACAACCCGTGCCATCTCATAAAACAAAACTCAAGTATAACTTGGGGGTCTTTAATCTGCAGGGTAGCAGAGCAGACTTTGAGGTATAGAGCAACAAGCCGGGAAGCCGAACCCCCCGGCTCACCGCCGGAGGATTGCCGATGGCGAGCGTGATCTCCCCTTCGACGTGCTCCTGCAACAAAAACCCTCAGACAAAGCCACCGTCTGCTCTACGAGGCCACCATGAAACCGACACTGTTGCCGCGGATGTAAGGAGCGATCTACCAAAAGCAGTCAGCTCCGAAGCACAAATTGGCCAGCCTTCTTGCACAGGGAAGCAAGACTGCCCTCTTTCACTCTGAGCCCCTGGGGTCCGTTGTGCCGCGCATTTCTGAGACCAGGCGCTTCACCACCTCCACACCGCTTAGCCTGTCAAGGAATGGGTTAAGACTCGCACACCCTCCCCACGTGCAGCATTGCAAAGGTGATGCATGAAGAAGGTGCGAAAATCAACCGGCTCATGCGCACGGTTTGACCGCACTCAGTCGCCCGATCCTCTCCTGTTTTTGCCAAGCAACTCGTTCCCATGCACGCCGCCCAGCACCGCCACCCTAGGTCGGCCTTCTCCCACACGCCACACAGAGGGGGCAATCCTTCAGCTTGCGGAATGAAAGTCCTAGACCGGCAAGAACTCAAAAGCAAATCAAGGCCAAGGTGCTCGGAGAGCCGGGCAGCTGCACCGAAGCAACGTCGAGCACCAGCAACAGTTCGCAAACTTGCGACGCGCGAGACCATAGCTTCGGGTCCGAACCATCTATTTACGCAGATTTGAAGTAGCTGGTAAACAGGTCATCCACGCTCGGCATTATTCCTGTTTGCTGCCCGTGGCTATTGCTGCCTGCTCTAACAAAGCCGTCGCTGGCTTCTTTCCTCTTGCTCTCCCACCCTCTTACTAGCAAGCATCCCTCTTCACGTCTGTCTACATATTTGTTCGAGCCACGGACATGTTTCTTGCTCAGAGGGCTATAATTTGTCGCCATGTCAGACTGAAGCAGAGCTTATTCTCCCATATTGGTCAGAAATTTCGGCCATAGGCAGACGATGGCTGAAACTCAATGCTTCGCCATCTCGACTGCTATAGCAAGCCTGCAAGAAGCCGGTCGCTCATGTTGTGATGTTATCCCCCGCTTCTTCGTTTTCTTCTTGCCGGCTCTTTCTGTATGTTTGGGAGTGTGACTGTCCTGTTTCATCCCGCTTCTCGAACCAGCAAGCTCGGGCTTCATCGACATCATCGCAGGATTAGCATGTACTGGGTTTTCCCATGGTTCAATCTCTACCTAGAGCATCCCGCGTGGGGATAAGATGGTCCCGATGCAAGTTTGCCAAGGCCCTGGCACCCGCTCCGCCAACCTGTCTCAATTTTGCTGCAAAATAAGCTTGGCACTGTGGGTGTGCTTTGGGCGATCTCCGGAAGCTGCATTCGAGGTCTGAGTTGGGAAATGCGGTCCCGACACAGCAATCGGGATCCTGACAGTCATGAAATAGCCATCTTGGAACTACGTAATTTGTACTTGAGCGATTTCACGAACTCCTCAGATCATCGCGATACGCACCGCGAGAAATACGTAGCACATGCCCACTCATCCAGTAATCGCTTGATCCGACTGAGCCTCGATTCCTGAAGCTCTTCAATACTAGTCTCCCATCGGTCGGGGCTCGCGCGGCCGTCTGAGCGTAGGCGCCACGCACAATCTCGGATGCAGCTGCGTGCAACAGCTATAGTGCACGCGTGTATGTGTATGTGTATGTGTATGTGTATGTGTGTGTGTGTGTGTGTGTCTGTCTGTGTGTGTCTGTGTGTGTCTCTGTGTGTGTGTGTGTGGGTGTGTGTTTGTGTGTGCGTGTGTTTGTGTGTTATGTTTGTGTGTTATGTTTGCGTGTTATGTTTGTGTGTTATGTTTGTGTGTTTTTGTGTTTGTGTGTGTGTGTGTTTGTGTGTGTGTGTGTGTGTTTGTGTGTGTGTGTGTGTGCGTGTGTGGGTGTGTGGTGTGGGGTGTGTGGGTGTGTGGGTGTGTGGGTGTGTGGGTGTGTGGGTGTGGGGGTGTGTGCAGGTGTGTGTGTCTGTGTGTCTGTGTGTCTGTGTCTGTGTGTGTCTGGTTCTAGCAGACACGTAAACCACGGGAGTATCTCATTATGACAGGCACTATCATGGAACCTTCGATGCTATATGACTCTTTGACTGCTTACTTCTCACAGTATATTCCAGACTGAGACTCTGCACGTAACGTAATCGGCAAGAAACAATAACAAGACAAATAAGTCTGAAATGTGGAACTTCCAAGCGAAGATGCAGAGAGGTGCTGACGGTTTGCTGTGACGAGGTTTGGGCAAAGGACTGCCGTTCTTGATCATGTCACTTCAACAGCATCCCAAATGCAAGAGCAAGAAGCCAAACCTCAGTCATGAACTCAACAGCATTCCAAAGTCCTGCTCCCTTAGGTCTCGCACGTCTCGAACATCGCCAGTGGCCTGCGAAGCTGCCTGGCACGAATGTCGCAGCCCCACTCGACTGCATGCACGTTGCATTGGAACATCTGTTGCGCCTGACGACACGACGACACACATCGAACATGAAACGGCGGAAACCGTTGCTTCGGTGGCGATGAACCTCTGTGGAAGCCGTGCTTAACCTTGTTCGAAGCCGTACGTAGCTCTAATACGATATGGTTACATCATGTGTTGCACCAGGGGCCCTCTCTGACGGATTGGAAACACTAGATCTGGCAAGTGCTGCTTTTCTGCACCTCCTCCCGCTCAGCGCTTCTTTCCCTGCAGCCCGTACCGTTTCGGTCCGGTTTCGCTCAGTCTTCGGGTTGAGGAGGTGGTCGTGTACCATGCAGCATCGCCGCAACCGCATCTACCTGCCGTTTGCGTGGTCTGCATCGAGACTCCATAGGGCTGAGCTGCACAGATACTTGGAACAGCTAGCGCCGATGTCCTGCGCAATGCTTCGCTTGAATTCGGCTTCACACAGACGAGAATGACTACAGTGACGTCTCATGACCATCTGATACCTTCGGGCTCTGCACAATCGACCTCGTCCTGGTAGATCGTTGCTTTAGGAAGGTTTCCTCAGGGGTTCTTGTAAGTGGCAACTCTTCAACAAACAAGATGCATGTGAATCTTCAGCCATGTTACCCCACTTCGCCGGTGCTGGAATCTTGACCGTGCACAGAAGTGACTGCATTTTATCTGCCGTGCCAGCCTCATGACATCATGCAACTATATTCAGCAAACACAACTTCCGTACGTTTAACCATGGCAACTGTGCCCTACGGCCGTATGTGCCGCTTAAAGCGCTGACGACCGACACAAATCACAATCCTCACAACCGGGTGTCTTCTCCAGTTTCGCCGTCCATTTTCCGGCGGATACCTCGGCAGGACGGCATCTTTCAAACAGCAAGCCCCAATAGTAATTGCCCAAATCATGTTACCAAAAAAACACTCAGGCATGGGTTCCATGAGACATGTTGCTTGGAGGGGTTGGCCGGGGCAAAAGCAGCAAGGCGAATGACATACTGAATTGCTGGAAGAACTGAAGAACAGCAGAATAACTTGTTACAACACCTCCTTCAGAGTTTGGGCCCTGACTCCTCATCCAACACTTGGGTACTTGAACTCAGACGTCCAGTTGCATCTGGTCCAAAGCCAGTTCGGCGCAGTCGGCCACTTTGGCGGCCTCTAGTTCACTATTCCAAGGCCTTTGTTCAGCAGCTGATGGTGTCACTTCATGTTACTGTAAGGTTTGGACACAGTGATGAAGCGAGGGATTTGAGGGCCTGGAGCAGTTGGTGCTTAGTATGTTTAGGGTGAATATTACGTAGACCTTCGTGGCATCACCCATGGGTGAGTATAGTCGTATGCTTTTGCCTCCTACATGGCTGGGCGAGTCGCGCTATAGACGTATGGGGTCGAACCTTTACGCTCTATTTAACGGCTTACCCTTGCCCAGCTAAATATAAAAACTTTTCAAGGAACCCTTAAACAAACTCTTACAAGAACCTTCAAAACGAACCTCTAAAGCAACCCTTAACATGAACCCTCCTGGCAAAACGTTTTTTCTTCGTCGACTCGTCGATCAAGCAGTCATACCCACCTGCACGGCAAAGTACCGTGTCAAACAAACCAAAATACACACAAAAAACACCTCGCCTCTTTATCGTTCGTTCAGTCATTCTTCAAAAATCTCATCTGCTCCACAATGTCACAGACCTACACAAAAAAACAAAAGAAAACGTCGCCTCTTCACCACTAGTCTAGTAAGTCTATTCAGAGATTTCGCCTGCCAGACAATTTCGCAGAATTGGAAAAACAGCAAGAAAACATGCGAAAACAGAGCTCGTCGCCCTTTTCGATGACATTCCACACATCAAGAAGTTCCACATCGCTTTCATTTCACTAGCACTTCATTAGCGATAGAACAGACTTGTTAACGCCAAAATACTTGTGCCGGTGCCCAAAGCGGCTCTGCTGACACCTCGAAATGTCTTTGTTTATAGCGTGTATTTTGAACTAAGCTCGGCCTGCACACCATAATAAACTACCCGTCAACAGTCCTAAATTCCCGTCCCGCTTCTATCCTTGAAGCGCTTGGGGAACAGACACTGCTACTACAAACTGACGCCCTGGAAGAGGTACTACGACTGTATTACGACTGTGCTACTATTGTGCTGCTACTGTGCTACTATTGTACAACTACTGTATACCACGAGGCTCAGAAGTGTTGCTGGTTGTAGCTTTGGTTTTAGGGTCGCAAAGTTGTGCACCAACGGCTGGAATTAAGGGGCCTCAACCCACATCCCGCGCCGCGGAGAATACTTGCGTCAGCACTCCAATTCGATCAGCTTCTCGAGACCGGGGCGCAGCTGCCACGGACATTTCAGAGACGATGCATTGCGCAACAGCGCTTCCTAAATTTTCATCGCCGAAAGACTTCCGATCTGTTAGAAGTATCTCAATGGAAGGATCGAGCACAAAGTCGCGCCAGTGGAAAATCGCAGCCGTCCAGGCTCCAATATCTCGACACGACAGACCTGTCTTATTTCAGGATGTTCATTTATTGAGCGACACTAAGCGTCAAACTCACTGTTCAGCATCCTCCGGATCGCGATGTCCTTGCTGCCGTCGCGGCCACTGATAAACAAGGGGAACAGCAGAAAAAAGAGCTATAGCAAAGAAAGCCTAAATGTGCCCGGCAACTTGCTTGTCGAATCCATGACAGCCGCGGTGGCAGGCCTCCATTCGAACTGCTTCAGAGCAACTGTTCTAAGAGGGTTTGAGCTCACGGGGCACAGACATCACCTTTCGCCAGCAGCCGTCTGCAAAAAAACCTAACAACAAAAAATAACATGCAACATCCAATCGACCGGACCCCGCTGCGATATATCAAACAAGGCGTAGCGGGAGCCTTTGACGGCCGCGGCGTCAGACCACGATGCGTTGAGTTGCTACACTATACAGTCATGGCCACTTGTTACAGCATCAGATCTATCGGGCTGAGGACTCACGCTTTCGCCAGCGGCCGTGGCCGTCATCGGTGTGCCCTCATTTCAAAACGTCACATTACACACGTAAACAATCTCCATGGACTCGATAGAAGCCAACTCGGCCTGGAGTGGCGTCAGCCGGACAAGGTTTGGAAGTCCTCGCAGCAACAGGAAGACTGAGATCGATATTACATGTGTGCAGAACGTGTTATGCAATCATGTCCCGACCATCATTAGAGCAGTCCTGACCCAGCGACGAAGCCCCTTAACGTGCACGCCTGAAGCTGAACGGTCATACATATGCTCCGTGACTCAATGAGGCGAGAATCGCACCCGGTGCATTTTAGGCACGTTTTTCGGTAGATGGCTGACTATCTGCCGAAGGCAGCCTGTGGGCAAAGTGCTATCGTAGTTCCGAACCTGATGGGTAATGATAAGGTGCAGCCGGAATCTCCGCCAACAAGTCAAGCTTAAAGAACAAGGCCATAACCAGCCTGAGAGAGAGTTCCATGGTTGTGCGGTACTGCAAGACTACTATTTCGTGTTTCTCTTCAAGATCCCGGCCACATGCTTGGACATCAGACCCCAGAGAGATAGATTTCTAAAACGATTTAAGATTACAAAAACAAACAAATTACAGCTCTCCATATGTAAACTTTGAAGCTTTTCATTAAAACGAATTAACAATCTTGAAAATTTTGAACGCCTGATTGAAAGCTATAAAAAGTTTAAAAAAGTTCACTGTGTTTACAATGTCCCTTATCTGGCATGCTGAAAGGTTTAAGCTCAACATTTTCAAATGTTAAACCGTTGTCGAAATCTCCGTGTTAATGTCTAGGACTAGGACCTGGATGCATTTTTTGTTGAACAAAGGTTCAATTAAACCTTTCAAATTTCAGATACGTGGTCGAAATCTCCGTGTCAATATCCACGACCTCGATTTGATGTTTTGAAACTAGCTTTTTTCACAAGTTTAAAATATGAATGTTTGAACTTGAAAACTTTCCCCTAATTATGGAAAAGATTTGAAAATTGCAAGGGCTGAACAAATTCGAACTAATATGCTTGAAACATTTTCCTAAAGTTTAACAAATATTAAATTTTGAATCGCACTGAATACAAGAAACGGAATCCGTCAAACAGAGAATAAAGGTTCTTCGTACACATATAGTATAGGAGCCTTACATGCAATGAAGTGTATGTGGCTTTGGGGCATAGTCAAGCAGTCAATCTGATGGGCAACGTTGGAGGAAATCCCGGACTAGGCGAAAAAGCTTGCCACAGACCATGAACAAATCTCAACTCGCTGGCCTCGGGGTGCTGAATTTGTACCGCCCTCGCTGTTGTTCAGCTTCTGTTGAAAGGTCTTGAAGGTCTATCCATGCTCGCAGTGTGTTCATCTTGCCTCATCGGCATCGGCATAGTCGCCCAGGAAAATTAGCCGCTCACTTTGTCGGTCTTTGACCTTCCAGTCTGGCTCTCCAAGTTTCCGGGCATTTTCTACAGTATCAGATTGCTGGGGGTGTCATTCAACGAAAGACCCTGAAGCCCGCGCTGCTCGAACCCAACGTTGTCTTTCCGTCGCCTTCACCTCCCAGAACCACTTCTCGGAGGACCAGAAAACGCTCTCATACCTGGCATCAGACTGACAACTGCAAGTAGGCCCACAAACGATCAGTCAGTGCAGGATTTCCTCCCATGAGTTACGTAAGTCTTCGGAAGTATGTCTGCGTAGCGCGTGGAATACTGTGCTCTGCTTGCGACTTACCAGTGCCGTCTAAGTCTAGGGCACCATAGGCGATCTGTGTAAGGACAAACAGCCTCAAGGCTTCCTCCCAGACAGCTCTTCCGGACAATCCATGCGAGGCGTTTGGATTCCCCCGAGCCCTGAAACGAACTCCTGAGGGCAGTGCTTGTCTTCAGGATCGCCAGTGGCTCGCCTGGCCACCTGTGTGCCTGCACGAAGCGTCACTCAAGAATCGTACAGGGTGAAGAAGGTTCGAGCTCTGGCTTCGAGAGTTTGGTCGGCGTCAAACTGACCAATTTCGCACACTGCGACGGCATACTGAGAGTTGTGTATAGCTTTATCAAACGTATTTTCCTAGTGCTTGATAGTCTCCGATGATGCCGGGACTATGTTGAAACTATCTTGAAACCTCAGGACTCGTCCGTCAGTCTCAGACTCGGAGAAAGAGCTTGTGCAAAATCGTGCAGTTGGGGCTGCACGTACAAATGCTGCAGATTTCCCTCAATTGCACTTCCTCGTGTCTTCGCGCTGGCTAGACGCATCTTTTCTGACCTGTTCGATGCCCAGTGATTCAAAGACGAAGCATGACGCCGAATGAGAGCACGTGCTGGACTGCGCAAGCACCCTATATATCGTCAACCAGCAGTGGAGGGGGTGGTACAGGTACATTACTCGTGCTGTGGGGCTAGTAGTTCTGGCAGTGGTAGTAGCGGGGTAGTAGTAGTAGTAGTAGTAGTAGTAGTAGTAGTAGTAGTAGGGTGGTGGTGGTAGTAGTAGTCGTCGTCGTAGAAGTAGGGTATTCGCAACAGCAGAATTGCTGCATTTCCAAATTTGTGCCAAACTCAACAACAAAGACAAAGACATCGAACCTACAGACAAACAGAACAAACAAACGAGCAGGCAAACAGAAACCTCCGACATCCAAAATGCGACTAACAGACCCCAACATGCGGCTCTCAGTCGGATTGCCGTTTGAAAATGGCGTTTGCCATTGCAGCCGCCTCAAACAATTCTTGGACTTACCTTGACGTCAGCCACGTGCACAGGCAAGCCACAGGTCCATGCCTCCTGAATCCAGCCTCTAAGTCAACACAAAGACTCACATGTTAAAGTGCGTATGCCTTTGTGTATGTACACATGCATATGTAGATATACATATGCGTGTACATATATGTCGAAATATAGAGGCTCTCTGGGTCAAGAGTATGATGTATGTGTCTGTTTTAAGTGTGTGTTTGTGTGTGTGTGTGTGTGGGTGTCTGTGTGTGTGTGTGTGTTATATGAGTTATATGTAACAATCCAGGCCGACTCTTCGTAAACGGATCTTTTTGGGCTTGCCATCCGCTGGCCTGTGGCCGCCTAAACCTACCAGGCACAAAGTTTCCATGCCTGAGCCTGGATGCTGCGCAATGGAAATTGATGGACGCGGAACGTCTCGATCACTTGCAAGGCTGTGTATGGCTGTGTAGTTCATTTCATCAGGAGATGTTGTCGTCCCTGCATGTGTCAGGAAAATAGAAGACACACTTGAGTTGCAAGCTGAGCACCCAACGGTAAGCCACGTCACTGGCAAGACATCCACTGTACATATATGTATGTTTCTATGTGTGTATGCGTGTACATATATATATATATAGGTAGGTCATTACATCGGAACCATAAACATATATATATATATATATGTACACACACACACATGCAGACACATACACAAGCATGTGTGTATGTATATATACATATACATATGTACACATGTCATTACACCACAGCTGCGTGAACGTGCAAAGCCGCCAAGCCCTTGCTGCAACTGTCTGCAAAAATCCAACCTTTGCTGCGTCCCGTATACCCGGTGTACATAAGTTCATTCGGCGATCAGCTGCCCGGCGGTACAACGAACGTTGGGCCCGTTGCACCTCAAATGCGGTTCCATTTATCTCCTTTTCTCAGACGTCTTGAGCTTTGCATTCTCCTCCTGGCCAGACAGCCCACTCTGAAACGACTTGCAGGACCAGGCTAGCAACAAAGGTACAACCACTAGAGGACCTTCTTCAGTACATATGGTCTCACTTATGAGGGTACAGAAGCTGGATCCAAGTTGAAACGGTTCTCCATGGAATCGACCACGTCCCGGGGCAAATTGTCAGGGCACTGCAGCGTGTATCTTGCTATTGCAAGAAAAGTGTAGTGTATCAAACGCTACGAGAATGCTTTATCAATATGGCATGTACCTGTACGAAACTTACACCATGCCACTGTCGTATCATGCGCAAGACCGTCATTCCTTTGCTTCAGCTTTGCTCTGAGGTATGAAGAGCTGGCAGTCCTAGCTCCCGGATCCTGGGAGCTACCCCATCTCAACATTTTGTGTGGATGGGCGTGGCTCTGTTGACCGTCGTTCCTTTCTTTCGCCAGGGCTATGGTGTAGGGGTTTGACCCCCGTTCCTCTCTCTCTCAGTCTCTCTCTCTCTCTCTCTCTCAGTCAGTCTTTCAGAAATGTGTCTCTAAAGCATACACTCCCTGGGGCAAAGCATCTTCTGCGCTTCACCACGGCGCAATCGAAACTTTTCTGCACGGTCGCATAGCAATCAGTAGTTGCACTCATGTACCCCTCTCCTCGAGGGTCTGCACTCTCTTCCGGAGCTTGTCCAACTCCGCCTGACGAAGGCGCCATGCCATGTCTGTTGCTGTTGGCTTCGACCTTTAAAGTGTTGTGTCTTTCTTCGCGGAAAAATTCGGCCCAATGTCGTTCAGGCACAACTTGCGGACCAATTCTGTCATGAACACCTTCCACTGATGAAAGCCTTTCAGGGTACATCTGTTCGATTTTTCGAACACACGTCTCTGCACGCGTTAAGTTCGAGATCAGCCTGCCACCCTACCCAACAACAGTTCCAGGAGCTGTTAAAAGCATGTACTGAAACCTCAAGCCAGAAAACAAGAGACTCGAGTACGACGTATCAGTGGCAGCATCCGTGGTGGCGGTGCAGGCCTCCGTCTCTCTTCGTTTCGCTCGCATGTTGATACGCCACTCCTGGCAGGTGAGTCGAGCCGCCGCATGAGCAACAGCGACAGAAGAGCAAGCCATGCCAAGAAGTGCAACCGTAATAGCGGATGATATCATCTGGCAGAATAGCAGCTGCGATTCTGTAAAGCATCCCCTGCACCTACCCGCACATGGATCAAGATTCGAGGATTTAGGCTTCAGAGAGGGGTAGAACTCAAAGCCCGAGGCATGAACTGTACAGTTGCATATGCACACAGACACACATACACACTCACACTCACTCACTCACTCACTCACTCAGTATAACTCTCTCTCTCTCATTTCTCTCTCCCGGTTGAGGCTCACGTGTCAAGAGCACGCGCTTGTCCTTGAGCTTCTCGCCATGCTGGGTGAAAACTGAATCGATCCACAACCGCACGATCCCCGAGGAGATCGTTAGTGCAATCCTTATTCCGTCTGCATTCATCTCTGTCTCCGCTGGCACTTGGCAGTGGTAGTTGCGCTCATCCCATGCCCTTTGCGCAGCAAGTACCCACTCTAATGTCCAAGTCATCTGCAATGCAACTGACCGTGATAAGGCCACAGCAGAAGCACCACTGCGAGGAGAATCTCCAAGCCCACTATCCTCAGAATTCACAAGGCATCCATCTTTGAGCTCATGGTCAGATTCCTGCAGTCCTAGGTCCGAAACGGCTCGGACTGTTGAAGCGCAATGCCAAGCTTCCATCGCCACCAGCCGCGAACCAGCCAGGCTAAGAACAGGGAAAAGAAGCCCACGCCGACCCCAATCTTCCAACCTCAGGCCGCTACGGTCGAAGCTTTGAAGAACGCCAAGGAATGTGTGATACAGAGCGGCTGCAGCAGGCTGCTGGAGTCATGTAGGGCCCCATACCGTCCTACCGTGTCGCTTCGTGGCTCGTGTGCCTGTGCACAAGTAGAACAAAACCGTTTTGGGATAGCCTGTGGCATGGTATCAAAGAGCCCCGATGTGAAATCTTCCCACTGAAGTGGTGAGTGGTGCCAGGGCCACCGAGCTGCTTTCCATGAGGATTTGGACGCTGACTATTTCGGCCACGAGGTAGAAAACACACACCTCAGGGCAAAGTGGAGGAGAGGAAGGCGGACAGACCATGACAGGCACCTAAAGCTCCAAAGCTCACTTGTGTTTCCGAACTTCTGGGTCGGGAGTCTAGGGTCGGAACTCCGAACAGGCGAGCTGGGCTCATTAGCATTGGCACCAATATCTGCAGCTCTTCATGAGCCGTCTCTTAAACCCGAGAAACCGACCAACCCACCTGGGACAAAGCTGCACAAGGGACGGACAAGCACCGGTTGTGCAGGATTGACCCAACGAAGGGAGTGAGCGAATAGAGGCCCATGCAGCGCCGCGGCAAAATCCGAGCCCTTGAATCCTGGACGAGCAGCTGCATCTGCGAGAAGGGGCCATAGCCAATTGAGAATAATCACCTCGACAGAAATGAGCCGAGTTCCCTGGACAAACGACAGACACATTAGCAGACCGCTATAGTTAGCAAACGGGTGGGAGGAGACTTAGAGTTAGAATGCCGTCACGACAGCGATGCCGAGAGGATTGTTCAGCACATTCTCAGCCATGTAATCTGGAGACGAACCCATCGCTGAACTCCTCACAACTTGATTGCAAACGCACGGAACCACAGTAAGGAACAGGACCAGCTGGCTTGGCCGTTTCGCCTCTGCGACTTGGATGCTGGTAGATCCGATAAGAAGGACCGCTCGTGGAGTCCAAGCGGCAACGTCGATGACGAAGAAGTTCATGAATATTGATAGTGCCTCTTCCGATCGGGCGCTGAAGCTTCCGAACCTGCATATGTAGCAAAGGAAGTTCTAGCGGTACAGCGCGCAAAATATCAAACCGCGATGTAACCTTGCTACGACAGCATGTGATACGCTGTCACTTGTAGCAATTGACATGTCTTGGATCTACTGGCACCGCACTTCTGCCTGGGGACCTGAAGCCACTCGCCACGAAAGGCTGTTATGGTTTGGAAGTCTGCTGGCGACTTACGCGCCAGCAGGCGACCCCCCCGAGGCCCCAGCTTGATGTCCATAGCATAGCAGCCAGCTGCGAGTAGCCCAAGCAGCATGAGCAACCGGCCAATCCACACCTGGGGCGGCTAAAGGATTGCAGGGTTTGGGAGTCTGGGATGTGGTAGGCTAGCCATTTGGCAGGACCGAGACATCAGAATCTTCTGAGGGATACCTCCGCGCAAAATGAAGCGTCCATAATTGAGTGATGAAGCGAAAGCTGCATGTCTGACTTCAAACTGTAGATTGGCCATGAATGTAGTCTCTGCCAGGAAGGCCATCAATCTTATTGTCGTCTTTCGGGCATGGCTTCGAATAATCCTTTCAGTGTCTGCTGCACACTAGCCGGCGACGCCCTAATAAGCGTGAGGACTTTCTGATTTTCTGAGACCGTAGAGGGAGTAGAGGGAACTGTGCCATGAAAATTCGGAAAACTCCACTACTGAGCAGGGAGCCCAGTCGACCAGCCACAGCACGCTGCGAGCCACGATCGTCTTCCTAGGGTGTCAAACACGAGATTCCGTGACCCACCACCCGAGAGACGAGCAAATCGGATTTAAGCTGGCAGTATGTCACGACGGAAGCATGAAGTAGATAGCGCTGCTTCCGGCCAACATTGGATTCGACTTCCATGCCTAGAAGGCTTGGTGATGCAAAGTGAGCCAGGCCTGGCGGCAAGCCAAGCCCATCTGTCGGTTCCGCGATTAATGCCAGTGTCATGTTCCCTCTTTTCTCAACTGGTTCAACTCGACAGGCCAAGACGAATTGGGGACACTGACTGTTCTCAGAATGCCAAGTCATCCAAGAGACAGCACGAATCCGCCCATTGGGCTGAGCAGCGTGCTCATGCCAATCGACCAAACCTAGGCCAGGATGAATAACCTGGAAACTACGATATTTTTGGTACGGTGGTGTAGACCAGGCGTCTGTATACTTGTAAAAACCACATATTGGCATTAACAAAACACTGGCGAACTGTGTGTTTGCAAACCTGCTCGCAAACCATACACTCAGGCAAAGATGTATATGTATATGTGGGCAGATGTGCTCTGGGCCTGTTTCTGTTTGCTTACCATGTTGCGATGGATGATGTGCATGGGGCATCAAGGTTGAAGCATATCAGAACAGACAGCAACTAGACCGCAGCAGATTTTCGAAAAGAACATGCCTGCAAGGTGAAGGACAGAAAGCCGCGATGTGAAACGATGCATCCTGGCAGTGGGCCGTTCTTTAGGCCGCGTGGATACACAGCGAATGGTGAATGAAAGGTTCAGCATAGAACTTTCATAGTGATGAAAGTCGAGGAACTTCCATCTCCGGTCGTTCTTCACCTGCACAAGGAACTCTGTTTTGCTTGGTTGCCCATGCACGTAAGGCCGGTGACGATGATGTGGCTGCTGATGATAGGTGCAGAGCAACAGCAGAGGCAGAGGCAGCATCAGAAGAACGAGGTGTAGTAGAAGAAAGTAAGCCCTCGCAGTGCCAGCACTTTGTAGTATGTACCAGTCACTGCTGTCGTACCAATAAACAGCCGTTGAACAGGTGTCTGCAAGTCGGCAGCTCAGCACAGTCTAGTAGATACTTCGTCGGATGTTGTTGCAGCGATCGGGCCGCAGCGTTGAGTACTGTCGCATGTGACGCGTGGTCTTTGGCTTCTCTTGTAGACTTGACAGATTGCTTCCACAAGAGCAAGACTGGGACCAGGGCCTCGGGCCTAGGGTCCCTCAATCTAGTCCCAGAAGAGCTATCCGAACCTAGGTCCACCCCGAAGGTGTCGTAGATCTTCCGCCGCTCGGTGTCGGAGAGGATCCTCGTCATCTCCAGGTTCTGGCTTGAACCGTACAGGGCTTCGGCTTTCGCACTACCAATGAACAAGTCTTCGTTCTGGCATGTACCCACTTACAGTAGCCTCCCCTCGCTCTCGGACTGGTTTGCTTGCTCTTTTTCCTGTTCGTCGTGCTTTAAGATAAGAGGGTGCCAAGCCCCAACCCCTCCCTGCCGACTCGAGCGCTGGACTCGCCAATGCTCGGCGCCGGGCAGGCTACCCAAGGATTAAACAGCGCCAGGAGGCTCTTTTGCATTCTTGATCTCATTGAATTTATTCGTCGCGTCAACGCCTCCACCCACCTTGTCTGGATGGTTCCTCAGGAAACATGGATCGCCCGCAGGTGTTGCTATCGGGCCTTGACCCGTTTTCTGCGCTCTTGGCCTGCCTACTTGAACAGCAGAGTTGGCATGTGGCGGTCAGACTACAGAAGCCTTTACCTGCGAGCCACATTCAAGGACATCAGGTTTGCTGGGTGGCATCTAGAGCATCATTGAATGCGCCCAGGCTCTGGAGTGACATCTTGCGAAACGCTTGCTTGATGTCATCTTCCTGTCTCAGAGCAAGATCAGATGGAGACCATTTGGAACCGTAGTCGACCGACATGGGACAACTGCAACGGTCCTTGCAGTCCAAGGCGACTCCAAGCACATCATAAGCATCAATCATGGCCCGGCACTCAAAATCCCCAGGCCCTTGGCCTGGGGTAACCAGTGCCGGCTCTGCTGGCAGTCCTCTAAAAATCTGATCAGAACCTTACTCGTTCGGGAAAACCTTTCTGCAACCGTGCAACTTGACTCGAAGTTTGGTGCAGGTGCGACGAAGGTGGGTGCAGGCAATGATGAGGGACATGGTCGTCATGGCAAGCTTGAGCCGTGGAAGCCGCGTGACTCATTATGTCCGCACGGGAGTTGACACAGCAAGCTGCAGGGCAACAGTGTCAAACACGTGATGCACAACGAAACGCAGGTCGTTGTGAATCAACTCGTGCGGATAGCCAGTCTCCACTCCTCCCCGCTCCTCGTTACTCCTTCCTTCCGGCCCCTACCCCTGTATATCTACGCCTGTCAAAAGGGAAAAGTACTGCGGGCTTGCTTCTGTGTGCGTGCCCCTGTGCCCGCACGCGCAAGCATGTGCGCTTGCGTGCAGGTATATATGCCTCGCCAGACACCCATATACATATATGTGAACATATAATTCACGCGCAACTATAAAATTCAAGAAAACCCATACACGAGGTTTGAATTGATGAAGACGAACATACAAGCATAAAGGCTGGCAGTGCAGAAACGAATGTACATCTAAGTGAATACATCTGAACGGTGTATGAAAGAGAGATCAATGCTACATCTTCTGTGTAACGGTTCGAAATGCATATAACATCATTCAAAACTTCGTCAGTCCACGAGTCTTGCAAGCTGCAGGACAGCCACCTTGGCCTCGACCTGCAGGCCTTGGCCTTGGCAAAGCCAGGTGCGTCTGAAACTGCGGTAGGTCCGGTAGGTATTCATGAAGATGTCTCAGGACGATGTCGGGATTTGCGAGATGTTCTACCTCATTTTCGTGTGCCAAACAGGAACGGCTGATCCCATGATCACATAGTGTGTCGAATACTGTCCAACATGACTCCAGCGCAAGAAGCGTGCTCATCTGAAACAATTCTCCCGAGAGCAGACACACTGACTTGATGCCTGCTTTCATGTCGCTGCCTTAAGCGCATGCCTACTTGTCAAGCAGGTAGTGCACGGCAAAGTTGCAGACTGGCATGGCCCCCTCATACCTCCTTGAACTGAGACTGTCATCGTTTCCTTGCAAATTAAAGATCCATTCATGCACGGCCGCCTCGCCTGGATCCAAACAGCTAAACCGTAGCGCGCCTCTCTGCTTCCGAAAGGCTCTGGGGTAAAAGCTCGATGCCCAAGGCAAAGTGCCAATAGTGACAACACGGCCTGAGAGGTTTGCAAATCTGTATGTCCATTCTATCGACATCCACTGCTCCGCTTCACTGTCTTGCTATTCAACAGGTCCAAATATTCACGCTAGGCTGCACAGCCATGCGGTGCCGAGGTTCGTGCCCTGTAAGTTCACGAAGCACAATCTGCTTGTAGGCATGACATTCTCTAGTTCCGCCATGGGGTACCCACAGGAGCTGTTTTGTTATCCATTGTTGCTCGGCATGCAGATTCCGCCTATCCAATCCGGCCAGCACAGCCTGAGCTATGTTGTGACATATTCGATGAAAGCTGGGGGAGTCGGAGAGGGGACAGTGCTTTCGACACTTACGCAAAGCGTTTACTATAATATCATGTACTGCTGTTCCTAGTGGAGCTATGGTTGCAATGTTGGCCATCCGTCGCGTCCACGCGACGCAGACTCAGACAAGGCACCAGCTGCCAGCGTTGTCGACAGCAGCTGCCGGGATCACGCCGAGCCCATGGGTCTACCAGTACCATCTTACGAAAGAGATTCAAGCCAGCTGCATGTGCTTTCATACTTGTACGAGTGTACAGGCGCGAGTTCTAGCAAATGATGCATTCACTTTATCGTAGGAAGTTTGTCACATGCAGAGAGACGAACGAGAGAGAGAGAGAGAGAGATGCAGATGTGTGTGTGTGTGTGTGTGTGTGCGTGTGTGTGTGTGTGTGTGTGTGAGCGCATGTGCGGCTGCATACGTGCGCGCAGGTGTGGGCAGTCATAGCTGATAGCTCCATTTTACGTATAGTCTGGGCAACAAGCTGGGCTTGTGCCGTGTTGGGAGGGGCAGCTCGGCAAAATCTGTGCCGAGATGTGCGCTAATGTGGCAGCAGAGGATGCTCCATGTCCAAAGGAAGTCTACAAGCTCGGACAACATCGGCGCATGTTTCCGAAAGCTGAGAGCTTGATGTCGTCAGGGCTGCAGATATCTGCAGATCAGGACGTCATGCAGCGAGTCATGACGGCAAGAAGGCCCTGCCTTCCTAACGCATCCTTCTGTAACGTCCAGTTCCGCTCTGAGACCTGTGGACTGTCCTCACTGACTTGGCCGAATAAACATGTCAGCCGACATAGCGGCCCAAAACATTTCGCTGCTTTAACGATTTTAGCGTGGAACTATGTCGTAAACCTACATTACACCACCAGGCCATGCACATGCATTGGGTGGATCACCCAACAATCCAAATCCACATCGGCGACGAGGAGGATGTGCGGTCCTGCCTTCTCCTTCGCTGATTGCAAGCTTTGTGCCACAGCGGCCGCAGTGCATGCTGGGCCCACAAGCTCCGCCCTGGGACGCTGGAAAGAATTAGTTGCAGAGGTCTGGCACATTGCCATCTGCACTTTGTACTCAAGACCAACATAATGGTGGGCTTGGGAACCAAATCCCGGCAAACAACCCAATGTGCGAATAAACTCCTACTAGCGTTCTTCCTCAATGGCATGCACGAACTTCAGCCGAGGAACGAAAACCCCCCTAGCCCTAACCCTTGAAGTCTCAGGTTCCGGCAGGTGGTCGGCCGCTGGCGGTGCATAAACGCGAACCACGGGGAGTTGGGCACCAACCCCTGGGAAACTTGCCCCAAAGCAATCTTTCTTTCTGATAAGGCGCTGGTCGGCAACGGCCGCGGAAGAAGTCTCGCGCGATCAATCGAGTAGATCTTGTTTCCATGCTGCTTGAGACAGCTCCCGGCATTAACGAACGGCAGAATTCCGACACTGCAAAAAACTCTAAGCCATGCAAGTAGTAAGTCAGTAAACTCAACATATGGGTGGTTGATCGTTATTATTGTTCCGATGAGTGACCGTTTCATGCCCATTGTGCTCGCTCTCGCGCACTCTCGCGTGTCTCCTGCGCATAGACGAGTTTTTCACACGTGCAGGTTGTATGATCATGCACTATGCTGTGTTATTGGCTATCCTTGCGCGCTCTTGCGCTCGCCTTTGCGAGTTCTTGCGCACACACTAGGTTTTTGAAGGCCATTTCAATAGTGACACTATGAATAAGTCGCCTCTGTAGACCACAGTCAGGAGAAGTGGGTTTGGATCATCCCTCATGTGTCATTGAGTTCGATGCAGCGGACTCAGGCATGACGTTGCATGGGGCGCCCGCTTGGCACAAGAAGCTTTCGGAAAGGTCACAGCCAAGCCACCAGCAAAAAGGTCGTATTGAAACGTGGTTGTACTTGCCAATCCGTGAGCGGCATTTGAAGAGCACAGGCGGCTTTGTTCTTGAACAAGCTATGACAAGTTGTAATGTGTTTCAATCGAAATCGCGAAATGCTTGCTGCTTGCTACTTCGAGAAAAGCTCCAGCATCATCCCCGTGTGGCCTTACAGTACCGGACCGCTCTGCCGCTCTTGGGACCGCGCCCTTCTCCAAGGCAAGCTCCTCCGCGGAGTCAACGCCGACGTCAACACCTGGGTTCTGGCTTCAGCGCTGAACATCAACACCCACAATGTCACCACGCGGTTGTAACCTTAGCCGCGGGGACACATAGTGTGGGCGACTTCAGCAGTAAGCCCGTTTGAGTGCCAACCAAAAGCAAATCAGCCTACATGTACATTGCGGCATCAGTACAGGTTTCGGCGGCTCTACAGATTAACACAACGTCTGGAAAGATACTGTTCCTGCATCACAAACCTGAATCACGCACTGTGCTTTCGAATCAGAACAGGTGGTTGACTCGGGGTCGGGCTTACGCACTTCACCCCCCACGTCGCTGACAGCTTTTCCAGGTCCTGCTGGCAGCATGAAGATCCATAATCCGACATACCTTGTCTTGAGTTGAGCAGAGGCGAAGGCCGCTACAGGCTTCGTAGCCGAAATGTAGTGGCACGATCCATAAGTCTCGCCCTACGCCGGCCTACATGCAGTGCACAACTATCCTCGGGAATGCACGTGACACGACGCAGCAAGAACCCATCAAGCATGAACAAACATTACTTTCTGCGATTGCTCTCCGTGACTCCAGTTGGCCGTCCTCCACTGCGAAGCCGCTTTTGGACCTAGACAAGTGTGGCAAACACCCCAATCCAGGGCACACGGCTGCTCTACTACAGACAAAGGGGCCGAAGCATGTGCATCGACTTACTAGCAGCTAGCATCAAAGTACTAGCGAGTATTCGCCAGTCCTCCGAAAGAACTTGCTGTACTTTCCTTGGAAGTGTTGTGGTGCTGAGTTTTTCGCCAGCCAGCATAGAAGAGGAAGCAGACCTCACAGCTCCAATTCACAGGGGATCTGTTTGGTTCCCAAGAGATGAACTCAGCTGGAAGGACTGCAGAGTAACAGTGATTAACACAGGAGTGTCCCGTGCTCCTGGGCATTTTCAGATCGACGACACATAATTTTGCGGCGTGTTATGGAATCCTGAACCCGCTACGAGATAAACTTGGGGCTTGGCCAATTCACCTGGCGAAGCGCCCTGCAACCTCAGCAAAAACAACAAACGGACAAGTCTCGGAGGTTTGCCGGTTCAGCCGCAAAGGTCAAAGCAGTTTAATCATTCACCTGAAAGGAGTATGCCCAGTGCTGCCAACCCAGAGTGGGCAGGGAGGACTGGAGAGCTATGCCTCCAGAGCGAAGTCTCGGTTCAAGACACTGAAGAAGCTCTCTAAGCTAACCTTGCCGAGCAAAGATACGATAAGTACTATGGGTACTGTAGCAGGCCATGCCACATTCAAACCTCAACGGCAGCGTCCTTGACATAGTACGATCACAGGCTGCAGACGAGAAGAATGGGATAGGAAATCATTGCTCAGAATCTTACTATACTGGGGTCCGCACTGCTGAGTCTACAAGTGCTATAGGCCAAAAACAGACAACCTGAAAGACCGCCAATTATGGCCGCACGAACCCAGGCTTCTTTTGCTTTCGCCGGAGATGTGTTGAGCCGATGAGCTGCAAACCTGCATTGACCTAGCTCGCCAGGAACTTCATCGAAATAGATTGAAACACATGCTGCGCATCGATTGCCTGCCTATTCTTAAGTTATCCCGGCATACTGAACCTCGACTAAGCCACTGCCCTCGTGTCTCCTCCCATCACGGAGAGGACGAAGGGCATACCGAAGTAGACAGAATCTGCGAGTTATCGGAAGACTCTATCTACTTCAGTTCGACTGTGAGCAGAAGTGCCAGAGAATGGAGGCTCAAAGTCCATCGGGGTGTCACCATCTTAGGCTTTGCATGTAGTCTAGGGTTGCGAGGGTCTCAAGTTTTCCGACTTGCCTTTCTCGATGTCGCGACGCAAGCTGCTATCCAGATGTGCCCTGACCACTTTTATATGTAGAGAGGCTTAGGCTTAGGCTTAAAAGCGGGGCCTTACTGCAAAGCTTGTCGAAGCCCCAGTGGCCCAAGCAACAGACTTCGTTCTCGGGCACTGCTTCCGAAGAGTGACTGCCGTGCACCAATTTGTTCCATGAACTTAGGGCTTGGGAATTAAACTCGGAGAAACTACTGGGAATCTGGGAACACAAAGCCTACACAGCAAGTCTGCTCATGAAGACGCGGAGTCGTCCTAGTCGAGCCGGCGCTCCACAACTGCTGCATCCGCACGTGCGCGCAGATTTTTGCAATAGAATTTGGTATCCTTTGTAGACCCCTGCCTTTGCATAGTATATAGTAGCATATGACAGCCTTACTTAGAAGACACCGTCGCCGAAGTTTAAGCGCTTCATGTTTGCAGGGGCAACACTCCCCCAGTCTTCGGTCAGGTCCTGTCCGAAGCCGCTGGCTTACATTGCCTGTATGTCTGGGGTCGAGGTGATGTTGTTCACTGCACTGTTCTGGGATTTACCCTCCGAGCACCGAAGCTGGAATCCGGCTAACCGCTGCCACAAGCGGACATCAGCAACAATGCCTTGAATTGTATTTCAGCGAATGAAGCAACAAGGACGGTAACGATCCGGATGCGAGCCGGAGTACAAGTGAACATGTAGACACTGGGATGAAAGACAGTGCTATTGTGAGTGGCAGCAACAAAAAGCCGCCATGGTGCAGCACTGCAGCATGCATAAAGGAGTAGACAGCGTCTGCGTAAAGATTTGCTACTTGTAACGTGGAGACATGTGGAGACGGCCTCTTCTCTCGGAAGAGGTGTGGGGCTGGAGACTCTGTACAGGCACGTAGGGTTCTTGTCATTGTTTGCCTCCCATTTTGGCCTTCGGAGTATGTGATCGGGCTCTATAACTAGTGCGGATGCCTCTGAAATGTTGGAGCTTTGCTCTGCTCGGTGCTGCGACCTCTTGAGAAGCCACGGGGACTCGAAAATGAAGTCTGCGAGAGTCAGAGTACGAGTATGGTCCGATTCAGCTCAACAACACTTTGGAAGCCAGCACAGCAGCCTGCTCTTAACGGCTTTTCAAGAGATCGCTCCTCGATGTCCCTATAAGAACAAGACTGGACAAGAGAATTGAATAATCAGAAAACATATTGCGCGCCTGCTCATCAGAACCGCTTCACGGCTGCCGTGCGCCACCAAAGCAGCGCTAGCAGAACCTAAGCTGGCTCGTTGCTAAGTGGTGTGTTGTGCAGGTATGTAATTAGACTCTCGCAGTTGGGACTGTGCAGGCGAGGGTAATTAGAGCCTGGGGTAGGTTTGTGCACGCTGGCAGCGACAGAATCCTTACTGGATTTGTTGAATGCTTTATGGACCCAGACGACGCTGTCTGCCGCAGATCAGCCGCACACAGAAGTGGCTGCTACAGTAGTCAGATTGAACAGACGCCGTGCTGATCAGTCCGACAAAAGGCTCATGATTTGGCAGATGCTCGCCACGACATGCAAGATGAACTCTCTTGCAGAATTCTGCATAGACAGGCATGCATTTGGCTACAACTCGTCGGGGTTTAACCGGCCAATAGCTGCTTTCTCGACAGTGGGGCATGAGAAGGCAAGATGCGGCCGCTGCCAGGGCGATCCAAGGAAACACCTTGCGACACTTCTCTCGCATCCATCGGCTTCCCAAGTGGCCGAAGAGGATCTATCCAACTCACCGAACCGAAAGAAGTCGATCTGTTCATGGTCGTTGGCACTGTCTTCGGAAGCTGTCGGCAAACATCGGCAATTGACAGCGGGTGAATGTGGTGCTGATAAACATTGCGAGCTATAACGATTGCAGCCCGCTGCTTGCCATGAATGCCATGACTGCGGCAAAGCGGCTTTGCGGCTCTTCGGGCTTTGCCTCCCAACAGCATTTCCAAGATGTCAAGTCCCACTCTCACACTCGGCAGAGCCACACAAGGACACCACGACAATGTAAAACCCAGATCACGACCAAGGTATAGCACCCACCCCTTCCCTTCATGTGCGCATTCGAAGACTCAATTCGGCTCTGTTCAACTGCTACAACACACCGAAGCACCAATTGCAGAAAAACCGCAAACCTTCTTCAAAAGCTGCATGAGACAAGGCACATGCCTGTGGATGTGAAGTTGTGACGGTGATTTAAGGCTTCGGCTTTCGCATCTGCGGCTCGTGCCGTTTCAATTGTGGCCATGTCTGCTGTGCGATCTTCTTTCAAGCCACGCTGAAGAAAGAATCTGGCAAGGTGTTAAGTTGACCATGCCTCCGCACGCATATAACCTGGACGTCCACGAAATCTCATACGTGTTACACAGACATATATATATATATATGTGTGTGTGTGTGTACATATGTGTGTATGTATGCATAGGTGCAAGTGGTCCTGGGTGTGTGTGTGTGTCAGAGCTACCACACCCGGAAGTTTAGGAATCCACACAGCTGAGAGCCAACACCGGCTACCAAACTTCCATGGATGCACCACACAGTCAAACACAATGCACAGAGCAAGGATCGAACATCCACAAAGAAACATGCTCTTGCTCCCGGGCCGTGACGTAGAAGGTTCTGCTTTCAGAAGGTGCGTCTTTGCCGACTGGCATTCCTGGCCTCTGTGCCTTTGCGGCCGCCGCACTGAGCACCGGCATGCTTTTCACCTGAGGTCTTGCTTTTCGGCTCAATACGGTAAGCCGCTATAGCCGTCATCCCCACTGCACAGTGCACGCTTGAGTCCAATCTCGCAGTACTGGGTCAGACTTTATTGGAAGTCTTGGGCATTGCCTTCCTTTCTGAAGGAATCTTGAACTCAAGGTTGTTGCCAGTCCACAAACAAACATCGGCCTACCTAAAGAACACTGCCGTGATATAGTGAAGACAAGCTGCTGTCGATCTCTCGAAACTTCCAGGAATGCACTTCTAAACAATTGGCTTCGTCACATGGGACCTTCAGATGTGATATTCCTTTATGAAGCCTGCCAACAGCTGATCCATTGGCTGATTCGCGTCTTATGGATTTACCTCCGTGGAATTATTGTATACGAGATCTTATAACCTGACAAATACAAACGTGCGCACAAACGCACAGGGACAAAAACACACACACATCAACTTTTGCGGAAGGTACTGCTCTGATCATGATGCTATATGGGCCATATGTCGCACCATTGACATATCCGTAACCAATGGACCAACCAACACACAACTAGCAAAGAAAAATATGAACATCTATGCGAAGCTGCCGGTGCTGTCTCCATCCGCTCCTTCTTCGCTGAGCTGGACTCGGAAGCCTGGGGAATACTTCAGAATACTTCCATGCCGATTCAGTCATTCAGTTGCACCAGTAACGACAGCAAAGCGCATCTCGACGAGACTGTAAGACGCGAGAGCCGGCGAATAAATCGACAAAGCAGGACGTGATTGAACCACGCAGGTCGCATCATACAGCGCTGCACAAGCTCGGCAACCTGGAAGCGCCGACACCAGCGAGCCCGTGAGGCCGGTAGGATTTGACGAAAGCACTCGGCGCTCGGACCCTAGAACTGAACACGGGTGGCCTCTGCGTTGCCGTTCTCTACCTCGGATCAAGGAAGGATCTTGAAGGCTCGGATTGAAGGGCACTTTGCCTCCCGCCCGGCTTGGACGAGATGAAGCGGTGGATTGAAAGGTTCGGGGATTCTCGAATCACGAAAGTCCAAGCCCTGCATAGGCTTGGGAGTAAGTCTTGCCCAGCCCTGAGCCTGAAGCGATTCACCTTGGGCTTGGGCGAAGACTCAAATCGTGCCAGGCCAGGGTGCAGCGTGATCCCCGTCGAAAGACAAGTCTTTGTGAATGATAACACCTTAGCTGAGGGATTCTGGACAAGGAACTGCAGGTTCGTGGCACAGTGGGTGACTGCAGCCTTGGCCCGACATGTTCGTGGAGACCTTCGGCTAGATTCTAGGTTAAACAAAGCCTCAGCCCTGATCTGACATAGCACTGTCTGTGCTCCAACAGGGCCCATGAGGACTCTGAAAGACTGCGCCAAGCGCGTGAGCAATGTTGCATGTGTCGCGTGCTTAGACAGTTTGAAGTGAGTATAAGCCTCAGACTTGGCACTACATGAGCTTTCCGCTGCAACACAAGCCTCGCGCATCAATAGCCCTATACCCGAAACCCCAAACCCTAAACCCCAAGCCCTAAACCCTCAAGACCGGACCAAGGGCACCTTCCTTTGCCAGCTCTGTAGCCGCCCAGCCCTCGATTTCTGCTGCCCAGCCCTGCGTTGTCCGTGGCGAGTTAAAGAGGTACCCATAAGCCCCATAGTTAGTAGTTCCATTCATATGTAGAATCCTATTAAAAAACCTAAACAGGAACTACTATGGGGCCTATGGGTACACACTTCGAGAATGACAGCCACTTGGCCGAAGTACTCTTAGGTCTTTGATTGAAAGGCCGTGAAACTGATAGGCATGGGGGTGAAGACAAACCTATTATCCAAATAGCATTAGCATTAGCAGTAGCAGTAGTCGGGGTAGTAGGAGTAGAAGTAGTAGAAATAGTAGAAGTAGTAGTAGTAGTAGTAGTAGTAGTAGTTATTATTATTAGTATTAGTATTAGTATTAGTAGTAGTAGTAGTAGTAGTAGTAGTAGTAGAGGCAGTAGCAGTCGTCATATGTCGTCAGTAGTATAAGAACAACCGGATCGAAGACGGATCGGAATCTGTACACCCATCTTTCTACATCCACGCGGCCCAAGCATGGATAACATAACATGCGCTGCAAACAATCTGTCTGAAGGATCTAATTGATGATGCTTCCGCGCGCCGTTTTCACGGAGCTGCTTTTTGCAGCATTTTTGTTGTGCGAGCCTGGCGTGCATGCGACTGCTGCTTGCGCACCCTTGCACGTCCAATGTGTTTATCTCTCTTCTTCAATAACCGGACCCGAAAAAGTATCAACTTTTCAAAGATAGTCCAAATGTATAAGGCAAAAACCGTTTCAAGTTATCCCACTGGCTATCTAAGTTATTGCCGAAATGTTGCAAAAGTAAATAAATACAAATATATATATATATATATATACACATATTTTTATACATGTGTGTATGTATACACATCTCTACATTGTTACATCTATCCAAGTTTGACATCTGGTTCCTCAAACCTGAACAGCCTGCAACTGCACTCGACTCGACCTTGGAGGTTGGGTTCTGCTTGGCACCAGCTTGTGGTTGGTGCCCACGTGCTTGGTTCCAGGGTAGTTCGAGACCTCGCAACCTGGCCTCATCAAAAACCCTAAGGGAATGTATCCAGGAGTAGGACTACCTGACATTACTCATATTCCCAAACCCCCTTAGTGCAGTTGCGACTTCTGTCCTTCTTGTCCCCGAGGACAAGTCCGCGCTTCTCGCGTTCACGCAGTGCGAGGCCGTGCCGGACTAAGCGGACCTTATGACATGCACAAGCACTGCCGGCCTATAATGCTTACGTGAGTATAGCCTTATAGTATAGGCGATAATCAGTCGCTACACTTAAACAAGAACTACTCAGAAGGAAGAGAGAGAGAGAGAGAGAGAGAGGGAGATAGGGAGAGCGCGAGGGAGAGGGAGAGAAAAGACAGAGAACAGGAAGAAGGAGAGGCTGCCTGTTTGTCTAGACCTTGGGTTGACCGTCTGTTCACCTAACTACTTGTCTGTGCTGCTGTAAGTTCATGCCCCCTTCTGTGCCCAAACCAACAGGCAGCGAAGAATGACATACATTTATGTGTGAATAAATAAGAAAATAAAAATATAAGTATAAACCATCAAGCACACGTTTATATATATATATAGGTTTATTATGGTTTATTTATTTCTTTATTTATTTGCTTATTGATTTATTTGTTTATTTGTGTAGAGATCCTAGGGTGACCTCTTGTCGTTCTTCCGCGAGGTCTGGTGCCCATAGGCCGGAAAGACTACCCAAAACGATGCAAAGCCGGGGTATCTGATGGTACGAATCAGTCCAAACCAGCAGGCGTCTAACTTCACACGGCCAGATGGCAAGAAGCAAAGCAGGCGACGATGCCTGCCACTATGCGAAGGCAAGCGGCGAGGCAGGAGAGCTTTCTGGCGCCGACCAGGTGGTGGTAATAGTCTGTCAGGGGTTTTGTTCTGCTGTTATGCCCATGCTGGAACTACTGCCTGGATTCGTCAGTGCAGCCCATGCACATAAAAAAGGAACCGGGAACGGACAACGAGATTTGCAGCATGCCGCAAGCTTGGAATCAATCTCAACGTGCACGTGGCTTGGATGCTGGCACGGATTTGGCCATGATGACATGTAATGCTTGCTAGCTACTAGGCACCAAGGACAACAACCCCCGCTCAAAACAGCTCGGCTCGGCATGACATGCATTGGGCATGGAGGGTTCGACAACAAGAGCTCCCCTACGGTCCTTGACATCCTTGCCGACGCACAACACCACTCTAAACCTGCCACGGACCCTTAACCATAAATCTAGTGCGAGGAGCTCTCATTGCGCTCCATCGATCTCCAGCCACAGGGGTCTTCCTGCTGGCGCAGCGCAAACCATAAAACTTTGAGGGAACAGGATCAAAGGTGCGGTTGGCGCTTGCCAAGCACTCGTTACATGTGGTCAAGCAGCCTCTCGGTGCATCATCATGTGACATTCGGGAGGATGGCAGCTTGCACTGGAAACGTGAACGGACGAGAAGCATGCGGCACCTGCACCTGTGCCAGGATCTCGGTGCTGCTCCGTCTCGCTGCCTGATCGTGCGTTCCCGGTGCTACTCGGCGTTCGGGTAGGTCGAACAAACTCGAGGTTTAAATAGCATCTCTTCCAGCTGTCACCCGCCCTTGCGGCTCCAACCTCTGACACGCACATGAAAATGCAACCAACATGACTACATAAAAGTGTCACAGTACGCATGCATACAGATACACGGCAGGTCTGTGGTGAGCAGCGTGGACGTGATTGCGCATGAGCGTGTTAAGTCGACCGATATGTAGAGCTAGGAAGATGTTCTGCAGATGCTCTTGCACACAGTTATCCTTCGCAGCCCTTTGTTAACATCATGGCTAAGATGGTGATGATGAATCATAATTTGTATACGATTATCATTGACATACTCAGTACCGACATACTGTACTATACACTTCATGGCCTCATAGGAGCCGCCCGGCGGTGGCTGCGTAGCCAGGATGGCCTTCAGCTTCACTGCAGAAGGCCCTAACCTTCGAGTCCTGTTGTACTATAATTACTATTAATTTCCATAATGTCATCATATTATCATCAAAACCGCACTCTAATCCTTAATGACCCCCCGCTCCCCCACACAACAACTAACGGATTACATGCATAGCCCCTTGGCGGAAGAGATCGCACAACATGGAGCACTCTGCCAACGGCGGACCGCTCACAAGACATCATAAGCCCGTGGTCGGACTCCCTCAAGCTGTCCCCATGAAAACTGTAGCGCGTGTGTGACTTCTTGGAATGCCGGCACTCGAGAACAAAACTGCAATATCGACGCCGCTTCGTTTGTTACTTGTCTTCTGCCTGCTTCATAGTGCTCGACACTGCCTTTGGTACTGCTGTTATGGCAAGCAAGTACGTTTGATATTGCCACTGTCAAACGGTTTAGTGCGATTCTTGGCCGAATGCATGTTAAAACTGACGGCTATTGCAGTTGTCACCGTGTAGCAGTAACCAGTACTATAAGGAACGCAACTGTTAACATTACCACGCTTTAAGTAGACTTTTGGTACTATTACTGCTGCGAGAATACGGCAACCAGCGCTGCAACAACCATGCCGTCCCTGCCTACTCCTCGCTGATACTACTCCATCCACTTTTACTGCTCAAGCGTCTTCCGGCGCCTCACGCACTTAGACTGCCTCTAGCATAGTAGTTGCCACGATTACTCTGCAATCTTGGGCCATGCTTGCCGAGGGGATCGTATCGCTCACTTTCTGTTTGCGAATGCTTTGCTGCTCTGCCTCAGACAGCTGACCCCCATAATTGGCGATAGACTTTCATCTAGTGACCAGTTAGTGGCCAGCGGCCGGGTGGGGCGGCAGCTTGCTCCCTTCAGTTACAACCAGTTCTGCACGAGGTTTTGAATTGTAAACAAGAGCAACGGATTTCGGGCTTGAGGCAAGTCTACATGATCTAGATCCTACCTGCTCGGACAACCCTACGCCGCTTATGCCCCATGCCATCCTGTGCCACTCTGTCGATCACTCTCTCCGGCAGGTTTAAGATTTGCTTGATCTCGCGGCTGTCCACTCCTGTAGCTAAATAACATCACGAGATGTAAGACCACAAATGCGTCCCTAGCAGGTACGAGTTACGACCACGTTAGCAGCAGCCTTTCTTGCATAGCATCGAGTGAACACCACATTGAATGGAAGGCTCTTTGGCGCAGGAAGTGGCGAAACTTGTGAAACACCCATGAAGAGAGCCGAGTTTATGGCTGTCGAGCCAGGTTCTGACCAACCCACCTCTTCATGAATCCCCCCGTATGTCGCACTTGTACTCAGGTGGATGGATACCGGACGTCGTCTTCGTGCAGGCGGTCTCGACCGAGACCTCGCGGCGGCGCTGGAGGCATCGATGCCTCAGCAGCCACAGCCATTGCAAAGACGACTTCTGGGCCTGGGCAGGCATCCTCTCTGGGCGGCTCCCGCTGACAGTTGCCATTGCACTGGTCACTTAGCAGGGCCACGTCTTCCGCTTCACAAACAAACTCCAATGCAGACACTTCAGCATGGATTCGACCTTTCCGTTGTCCTGGGGGATACAGCCCCAATTCCCGGAACATGCGGTAAAATGTCCATGCGGAAATGCACAAGGCACTCTGCAATGACACCGAAGCCAGCAACAAACATTCCCACACACCCAGGAAGCCGAGGATACTGGGAGCACCTTCATCAAGCAGTGCGTGTGCAGAAAGGCGCTGCCATCCACCACCCGGAAGAATGTCAATCACAACAGCACCCCAAGTGCACATCGAAGAGGTCAGTATCAGCGTCAGGAGCGAGCCCAGGCAGCGTCGATTCACACAGACACCGAGGCTCTGCGACGCGAACACCGGGAGAGAACCAACGCAAGCGATGGAGTTGGAAGCCGATGTTAAGATCTGGGCTGTTAGCTCCAAGCCACCAGGGCTGGGGAACGTCCTTGCCGCCAGCAGTCTCAGTGCCTCCACGCAGAGCAGGCCGAAGACACAGCAGCGGGCCCGGAATAGTGGAACCTGTGCTCTGCCTGGAATATCCAACGTTTCCGGCGCTGGAAAATCGGCCGCCAGAATCTTACTACAGCCTGGCAAAGACGTCGGCCGCTGTTTCTCCTTACATACTCTCCAAGAGAATCACTCTTGTTCGCACCAATTTACCCTAACCCAAAACGTCCACGGTTTCCAAGAATACCAAGGCACCGTGGCCGCTTGTTGGCTACCTCCTGCTGCCCGTCGCCTCTCCTGTGCCTCAGTTCTGGATGCGATTTACAGAAGTCTTGACAGCCTCAAAATCTGTATCCGGAACACTTCCACTAATTCTACTAGCTCTACCATCGCATCATAAAGCCGGCGCATCCCCTCCTTCCGAACGACATAAAAGAGACGGGCACATCTGTCCAAGACGCGACTTCGCCCAGCCTCCAACCCCAGTCCGGATGTGGCCCCGGCTGTGGGGGTGGCGGAATGACCACCATGACAGGGTTTTTTGCGTTCAGCGCAATTGTTGGGAACTTATTCTCACGAGGAGCTGATCGTGCGGGGAATGGCGAAATAAATAGGCCAATACGAAATTTGATTGAATAGACCAAATAACTAGACTTTATACATATGCACCAAAAATACACATCGAAACGTCGCCCATGCTGCTTGGCGAGCAGGCATCTTAGAGCATCTTCTTCATGTCATGACCGTGATCAGCTGGAGCCAGTTGGACTTGAGGCGGGAAGGAAATGCAGGCTACAGTTCGAGCGCATGGGCACTCGTGGGTGTGACAAACCATGGTTCTGCTAGCCTACTTCAGTGTCTGAAGTTGGTGCTTCGTGACTGTTTATTCGAGTTGAAGGCTTTTTGGAAATTTCCCAGCCTCAATTCGGTGAAGGTCATCCATGGCATATGTAGCCTCGGTCCGACTTGAAGCATCTCGGAGACGATTATAGCTGAACACATATACGCAACTGAAGATGCCAGCTCCGGAAAAGAAAGTTCCAACGCTCCAGCAGCAGAAGAGAGTTCGTCCCACTCAGCAGGTGTGCAAGTTGCTACAGCTACCATCTAGGTAAAGTCTTCGAGAAGTTCTCGTCGTGTTATGTCATCAAGTCACATTCATCAATTGAGTCGGCAAGCTTTTAAGACTTGGCGATGTGCTTGTATGACTGCAATGCAAGCGAGGGTTGCAAAGCTTATTCAGAGACCGGAGCTCATGAGCCTCTCAACATCAGCCGAGCCACCTCCGTGCAGGACAGCGGCAAGTGCAGAGCGCGCTGGTTGCGCGAATGATGAGCATGCCAGTCAATCCTTGGGAGGGTGCATTCATTGATGGTTTGGGGTTGTGACGCCCCATAAACCCAGAACCCGGATTCACAGGGTTTGGAGCTCCACTTAAGGCAGGGCAGACGAGTTCATGAGGGAGTTCCTGGATCGTCTAAACATGTCTAGAGAGTCTGGAAGCAAGAACCGTCTGCAAAGTCCGTGCGGAGGAGGCCCAAAGAAAATGGTCGCCACTCAGCTATCGTAATCATGCTCGGTATGGCATAGACTGATGCACTGCCGCAGCGGAATGCATGTTGACAGCAAGCACCAGTTAGACTTTTCAGACACTCAAGTACGAGAGTTGCAACCAGTACATAGTCTGGCTCACGAAAATAGTCTGAGAATATATACAGGTGGCGGCCTGAAGGCGAACACAATTCGGCTGAGATACTGAGACTTGCTCGGCAAGTCCACCAGCAGCTCTGCAGGCCTCAAAGCTCCACAAGGTTCTGGCGACGAGACTTGATGGCTGGACTTGCGTCACAGTTGGCCAATTTATCTGGTTGGGACAAGGCTGTCTCAGAGGATGCGAGCGAAGCGATGAATCCGATGAGGTCACAGCATGGTGACGCCAACATGGCTTTCCAACTGCACAAACACCCCGTGCTGCACGCAGCCCGCGCCACAACAAGAAGCCGCATGAATCTCCATTCAAAAGCAGCTCGAGCAACAAAATCTCAACAATCTCGAATCGACAGCGAAAGCGAAAGCCTCCGCTTGCTGATGCGATCCTAATGGCTGCATCCCAGCAGAGAACGGTCAAAATTTCGAAACTTGATTTGTGTTTGAACTCTCCAGAGAGATCCGTAATTTTCGCCGCTGACTACGCATGTTTATGCGTGGGTGGACATTTGATACACAGACAACATCCTACATTGTTCATCTGCAGCCCTATAGATGTACAACGATAACATAATAATCTACTTTGATTTGCTAAGTGTTCGAGCCTGTTTTTGAGCAGGGACTGCAATGCACTAAGCCCTGAATCCCTTCAGCCAAAGCTGAAATCAAGAATCAAATGCGTATTTGCACATTCACACTTCGCCGTGGAGTGCGTCCCCTCAGCTCCTTGCACTCTTTCGAGCATCCGGGCCATGGCCAGACGACGCTCGCCAGTAGAATATGCAAGCTGGATGTCGATCACCGCCTGACGTCCGAGCCGCATTTTTCTCAATGCTGCGCTTGATCCGAAGTAATGGACGTTGGAGCAAGATCGCTAGCACTACAATCGCTACAGTCGCAGCTGCCTATCAGTTCAGCGGTCTCCTCCACACACGATGCTCGCAACAGGTTCTGTGTATGAGACCTAAGTACCGGGAAGGGTGGAACCGATAAACATGGAGGAATAACACAGCGGGCGGTGCAAGCTGGATAATTGTTGTTGCCATCGCACTAGGACCGCCAGGACTCGCCACGCTGTTGACGACATATCAGTCGACATATCCTCAGGCCTTGAACCCCGCCCCCTTCTCCCTTCCTCTCCCCTGTGGGCGCTGAAAGATTCCAGAAATAGTTTCTGAGCACAGGTGATGCATATCTGCGTTACATAGAACTGCTGCAATTTGTATTATACATGTCTTCATAATAACATGTATGCGCTGCAGAAATCCGGGGGCAGGTACATGTCCGTAGGTCAACTTGTTCCCAATATGAAACGAGATACAGAAACTCGAGCTCAAGTGAGCAGATACAGAGTCTTTGTCTTTGCTAGGATGATACGGTATCTGTCTCAAGTTCAGCGCAGTAATGACAGTAGGAGTAGCACCATGGAACTGACAGAAGCACAGAAAGCCACAAGAGGCTATAGGGTCATGCATTGCTTGTCGCGGTATGATTCACAAATAGGAAGCACATGTAGAAAGGATCCCTTGCATGCCGATTCATCTGGAATCTGGGAACTTTCCCAGCTCCAGCGGCCCGCCACCCACCCACCTCCGACCCACACTCACACCCACACGCACTTTGCTTTGCTCTCTTTCTCTCTCTCTCTCGCTCCCTCCTCTCCTCCCAACCTATCCAAGTCAGCTGAGGCCTGCGGATGGATGTTGAGAGATATAGGTATCTCCTGCTCATGCTGAAGGGTGGCAAATTCCCGTTTTCGACATGAGCACGCAAGTTGGCTACATTGAAAACTCATCGGGGAACACCCGTGCTTTCCAGACATCCTCCCGCATCATGCACTCAAATCCTGGAGCTGTCGGGCTCGTCTTCACCCAGGCATTCCATTGTCTCATCTCAGTCTCAAAGTCATAAGAGGGGATGCTCCCTGCAAGGCCTGGGACTCTGAGCTGCTGTGTACGAGCCCAGTCTTCGACCCCTACGGACGCCCGGAGCAAGTGGCTGCGTCCTGATGCATGAGGCTTTCAAAGTCTGCATCTGCTCCCCACATCCTCGGCAGCTTTTGTTTGGACTACACATGACTAGACCTCTCTGCTTGGAAGCCTGTTCTCAAAAGGTTTGAACATGCGTGAAAATGCCTGCCGTTAAGCCTGAAGTCATGGAACCCATCCAAGCCTTGCCACGTCCATGACATGAATCTGTGGACCCCGGATCTAAAGGACCTGTCCAACTGCCGCCAGGGCTTGTCGGGTTTCTCTATGTCAGTATTGCGCAGGGCTTCCAGCCCGTCGCCTATTGCCAAGACAATTCTGAAAACAATCGTATAGCCCAGCCACAACCAACCTGAACCGTCCGGTGCCGGTCCAAGCGGCACTTTGGTGATCCAAGGGCTCTGCATCAGTGGTCGAAACGCCTGTATGCCTCGTCAGGCGTGCTTGGAGGGCTTCACAATTCTGATTGCTGATGCCCCTTGTCTTTCGACCGGCACGGGCTAAAGTTGCCGGAAGCAACAGGTCAATAGAGCAAAGATCTCACGTGCGGAGTGAGGTCAGCTATCAAATCGCTGCTGCTGGCACTGCTGCTGCTTGTTTTGGCAGCCTTCGTCACAGAGTGGACAGCACACGACGCAAAGGAGTCTTGGATTTCCACCAAGATGCAGCAGTCTGTTCGCAGGTCGATCAGAAGCCCCAGCCTTGGAAAGCCACCAGTGCAAAAAAACAATCAAACATACAAGTACCATGTACAGCGAACAGCATGGGACCCAATGAAATACAACGTATGTCTATAAAAGCGCAACGGGGTTTGAATCTATCTACGTACACATGCAAGCCTACCTACCTGTCTATCTATCGGTATATGTTTTTCGATGTCTCGCATTGCTTCTGTTTTTCTTGCCGAAACTGTTTTGAGTCTCTGCATGGTGCTAACGATGGGAATCGCAATCCCACCTGAGGTAGCCTGTGCCGTGCAAGGATGGTGTATGGACTGTTTGAATGGAGATAAGTACAGGTATATAGCCACACACGTACGTATGCTGAATAAGTGTGTGTATATATATATATATAATTTATTTATATTTATATTTATATTTATGTATATACACACACACACATATATATATATATACAGACACATGCCTATAAACATACAGAGAAATAGACAGACAGACAGACAGACAGACAGACAGACAGGCAGGCAGGCAAGCAGGCAGGTAGAGATATAGCCATATAGCTATCTATAACTATGCTATAAGTTTTTGCAAACAAAAAGACAAATGCACATGTACATACATATACAATCATGTGTATATATATATATATGTATAATACTATTACTATGTATGTACACATGTTTTTCTGTAAGAAGGACTATGTGCCGAGCTGCACATGCACAAACAAGCAGATATTCGCAGATAGCCAAATCCACCCGCTCACAGCCACAGATCTACCACCCGCAAAATATGATCAATTTGCGGCCCCAGGCTTACAGCTAGCGCTCATGGCTCACAGGCCATGTCAAATGTTGGGTGCAAGCGGGTGGTAGTGGGAATTACGATCCCTCTCGAAGCCTTCCCCAGACTAGGGCAGATCTAGAATCTAGGACAAGGTCGCTCGAATAGGTAAGGAAGTTGCCCCGATGATGACTTGTGAAAGGGCCGGGTACAACGCGCCGGCTCTCACCGACGGCAAGCCGACCATCAAACTGTTTAGCCATTAGTCGCGTCGCGGCCGAACATAAGCATAAACATTCCCGAATCGTCTCAAACACCTGTGTCTAGCCAGACCCAAACACCTCAACACCAAACCATCAACCTCGAACTCCTATT